TCCATTTGATTTCAGCATTTGGGAAGTGTCTTAGTTAGCTATTGCTGCTGTCTTAGAAGTATCACAAGTAGATGACTTTAACAAGCAGACCTGTTAGAAGGCTGGAAGTCCACATTCAGGGTGCCGACTCGAAGGGGAGATTTTCTTTCTCTAATCATCTCTTGGGAAAGGCCCTTATTCCCTGGAGATCTACATTTGCCTTGGCACCCGTCTTCTCCTGGGACTATACCGCAACCAGATATCCGAACCCTGTATGCCTCACAACTGAATGCAAACATTTGACAGTTATTCATTGAATTCATTCCTTTGGTGGTCTAGTATAGGATCTAGTGAAAAACACAGGAAACACTTTACTAAAGGTTATTAAGTAAGTAGAAGTAAGCCTGTGTTTACCTTGCTAACTTGCTTATTGGCTAATTCACCCCTGCCTGTCTATGAAGAACTACACATAAACTTTAATATAGAGAGTTAATTTTAATATGCAACCCTTGGGTACTTTTCTTCGATTGGTTATTGTTATCTCCTCCTTACATCAATATCTTTATGTCTTTTAGATTTATTGCTCGTTAGGGTCTCTAAATCATGGCAATCTTAACCATTCCAATTTACGTATTGTTTTATGTTTGGGAACTCTGGGTAGTATAAGCAGTCAATGTGTGTAGCTGCCAACTTCAGGTTGGATATTAGAGGCTACACAGAAGCATCTTGATAGGAAAAGCCCGACGATGTCCTCCTGTAAAAATCCAACCCTGTGGACTGTACTTCAACGCTGAAATATCTGGAGTCATCATGAATTGGGATCAGCACAGTGGCGCTTCCGTTTCTGTTTGATAATGGGTTCTCATTAAACGTGCATGGCATGTTCTCCAGTTCCTCCCATTGTCTTTCCATTTTTGTTCTGCTCCCACGACTGGTATCCTAAATGACTATACAAAGGGCAGCACAAAAGAACAGCTTCCTTCTCTGAATTTCACTATCTGCCAGTGTCAAAAATGGCAAGAAGTCCATATCAGATCTCCTCTAGTAGTAAGACAGGAGAGAAGGAAATTCCAACATCTCACCAGGCCAAGGCTTATTGTCATAAAGTCCCTTGCCCTTTGCTTCTGTATACCAGGAAGCCAGGTTGCTACTCTGCCTCACAGTCTCAATCTTAGTTCTGTCTCATGGTCTCCTTGCCAGGGCCTCTAGTCTCAGATTTGGCTACTTTGTTCTGTCCCATGGTCTCTGTGGCCCTTGTGCCTCTGGCTTCAGCTTCCTCTACTACAGACATAGATCTCAAAGGTGCTCCCTGGCTGGCTCTTCTTCCTTGAAGCTACTGGAATTTCTCAGTCCCTGTTCCCAAGATGGCTACTGTATATCCTTATAGCCAGGAGGTTGGCAACCAAGACTGACCAGTCACATGCCTTCATTATTTACTCCCCAAATCCCTTTTCCCTCCCTAGCATCCACCTCCCACCCCTGCATGCCCTATAGCCACTTGTGTCAGTTATTCTCATTATGTCCCCACTCCTGTGCATCACAGCTGGGAAGCCCAACAGAAAACAATAAAACAACAAAATCACATGGATATGGTAAGGCTAAAATCATATAGTAGTATAAAGACAATACAAATAATGCCTAAAAAGGGGAAAAAAACAAAAACCACCAACATTAAAAAAGCCAGGGAGGAAATTTCTGTCATGGAACAAGTAAGAGATACTTGGCCCCAGTACAAATTCTGGTTATGTGTATAGGGGGGTCAGCTGACCGATTATGGAGTTCAATCAGCATAATCAAGATTACAATGGTCTCTGCCTGATAGTCAGGCTGTTTGAGACTCTTGCCTTTGACTAAAATGGATCTGCAGTTAGCTCGGTCTGACTAGATACTCTGCAGATGGGTTTTGGGCTCCCACTGCCCTCCATAGCCTGCTACAAATGAGTGCTTATCATTTTACCTCTGATAATTTTCTCTTCACCATCTCCAAATTTTGTAATTGTCATCTTTGGGTCACACAAGCTGGTGTGCTTCTTTCATGTAGACTTAGTTGATTCTTTATTTAGATGGCTGCTTGTTTGAATGCAAGCCTTTGAGACCCCAGATACTATTTTGATTGATAGCTGGGCACCATTTACTCTCTTCATCATAGTTTGCTGTAGCACCTGAAACTTCAGCGTTTATTTCGAAGGTGAGTATCGAGCAGGATCAATCTAACCCTTTTACTTATGGTCTTTGTAACTCCCACCAAATGAATGGGTAGGACTATGCGAATGTAAGGTGCTTATAGTCAATCAAGGGGATTGGACAGCTTGCTATTAATGCCAATGCAGTACAGAGTGCCTGGTGTCACAGCTGTCTGCATCCTGGCTTGAAGAGGTTCGGTGCAGGTGTCTCAAGTCCAAAGGTTACATTCTGCTCATGGCTCTTCTTCGTTCATGGTGGTTAGATAATCCCGTGTACCTCTAGGGTGGTTTCTTTTAATCCTAGAAGGATAGGTAAACTAACTACTCCCCTCCTAGGGTTCTACATGGAGCACCCCCAAGCAGCACCAGAGAAATGGCAGCAGAACCAAAAGCACGAGGCAGATCTGTGCCCTGCCTGGTCGCCGGAGTCAGAAAGCAGCGTGCCTTCTTTGACGGCACAGCGGTTTACCTCCTAAGCACTTACTAGCATGTGGAGTGCTTGGTTTTCCAACACATGGCGTCAGAGGTGAAGGACTTTGCATCAAGATTACTGGCAGAATGGGGTTCCTAAGGCTTTTATTGGCAGAGTTAAAATAGTTCTGTAAGACTTGATGGAACAGGGAAGAGGCTACTAGGCTAGGGGTCTGGATGGGCCTTCAGTTGCCTGGAAGGAAGCTATCCCGATAAAAGAACTAGGTCCTCACATGGTTTTGAACCTGAATTGTAAACTACTACTTTCCTAATAAACCACATAGCAGCAAATATTGTCTCTTAGTCCTGTGTGACCAGAGCAATGCATTTTCAAATCCAGCAGAGCAGTAGAAAGTGCTGTGGAAGGATGTTGGTGTCTAAAATGGCAAAACGTTGGCGGGTGGAGGCATGTCTGTATTCAGCCTTGAGTGATGTTGACGGTGATTCTACTCCTCTCCCCTTGTGAAGTTAGAGGGTCAGACACAACTGAAGGGACTTTTCTGCTCTTCTGTGGCTAATTTTAGCCTTTTGGTAAGCTTGCATGAGAATTAGAGAACTCAATTCAAAGCCTTGCAATTGATTTAACATTTCATTCTTTTTCTACCCCGACTGCCTACATTTTTCTTTTTCTTCTTTAAAGACTATTTCCGATTGGAAACACTCTAGAAAATATGGAGACGTATTGCCCTACAGAGAGTGACATCAAAATTGAGAGATAATCCATGCCCTGTGAATCCCCAGAGATAGTACAGTAAAGCCTTCATTGACTCTGGAACTATCAGATCATGCTGATGGAATGTGATTTTACTTGTGCTCTTTAAATGTAACTTTCTTCTATTTTAAAAGCTACAGTTTCTATAAAAAGAGATTTTGTTAATCTAGTGTCCTTCATGCTCACGAGTTCAACTGGATGTATACAGCGTACTCAGTACAGAAATGCAGAACATTTAACACAGCAGAAAATATTCATTTCACATAGGAAACAAATTGGGTGTGATACTACGTTTTAAATGTATAATTTATCTCAACTTTAATAATATATAATCCTATAGAGCCAACAATTTTAGAAACTACTTAATGACTGTATTTTATACAGAGTAGAAATTAGAATTTTTTTAATTTCATTATGTACAGACTTTGATGTACAGACAGGTTTTCCATAGCCACTGACTTAGACTTTTTTTATCTCTCATGAGTACAATTGTAATATGATAGAAATAGAGCGTCTACTGTATGGAGATTCTCAGTGTGCTGTTGGCTCTTGATAGGACTATTAATTGACCCCTTTACCTGGAATACAATTCTCTTCAATAATTGATTATTTTCTGTGAACATTTTATTGTGTTAGCAACAGTTCGGCAATGATATGGTATACTTGTCCAATTCATGGTTTTGTTCCTTTACAAAATAAGGTGAAAATAAGAAGCATGATTCAATTTCATGCAATCCAATAGATGCTTTTCTTAAAATGTTTTGGAATCATATCACTCTTAGAAGCAATGGCAAAGAGTTCTACAGAATGTTATAAACCTTTCACTGCTACTTTCCCTCTTCTTAAAATCAACCCATTTCTTATTTTGGAAGTAATTTAATATCTTGTGTGATTTAAACAAAGCATTGTATTTTCTTATGAAAATAATGTAGTTTGTAATAGCATATTCTCCGTGAATGCAAATCATGCACTGCATGCTTTGAAATGACTCAATGTCTTTACAGATCTAATTTTGGTATATTTGTATCTCAAATAATTCGACAACTCAATATTTTGGCTTAGCAATCCAAATCAAATTGTAGTCCAAGTAGCAGGCTCTCACACTAAATGTACGAAGACTTGACAAGCAATTAGCAATGAATATTTAAGCATCTTCATTACCCTTGCATGAGGAATGCAGATGGTATTTAGGGAGATGGCAACCAGAGGGCACTACTGTGAATTATGTTTCTATCATTAGGTCACCTGACTATTGGAAGACTGTCTCTGGGCTCCATGCCACTCCTATACCTCTACTGCCTTCCTGGAAATATAGCATGCATTCCAAATGTTTTAAAAACACGTTGCTTCCAGGAGATTTCTATGGGTGGTTGTGTCTTGGGAAGATTGCCTCCAAGTTTCCCAGCACATATTTTTTAGGCATACCAAAATCCAAATGCCAAGACTTTATAGGGGTTCAGGAGAATAAAAAATTATTCAGAAATCATGCTGATCATTTGCTTCAATTAGCTAGATGTTATGTGCTTAATGTGCAAAGCTGAATGAATGAACATCCACTGTCTTCCAAAATCTAATGTAGATGGCTCAAGAAAAAAAAAAAGCTTTGGATGGTTTTACTTCCAATGGCAGCTCATTGAAATTGTCTCTTTTTTAAGGAAAAAACAACACTGGAGAGTCTGACTCAGCAATTGGCAGTTAAACAGAACGAAGAAGGAAAATTCAGCCATGCCATGATGGATTTCAATATGAGTGGAGATTCAGATGGTTTGTAAAATTATTCATATGTGTATATCTGTTCCAGTAATTTACAGAAGTTGTCTACCTCAAATTAAAACTACTGAAAAAAGGCAAGACCTCCTCATGCCTGATACTGCTGTCAGGAGCAGTTCCCATGTGCCAGGTGCTAAGTGCTTTGCTTGAATCATCTCACTGTAATACCAAGCACAACTTTGGAGGTAAATACTATTACAAATAAAAAGCCAGATCTTCAGGAATTTTGAATCATTTTTCCAAGGTCACAGTCATTAAGTGCCAGAGGCAGGACCTGGATTCAAGATGCCGGCTTGATTCTAAAGCTAATTCGTGTTCTCAGTTTCCATCTACTCTGCTTTTTGCCTTCCCTAGTTCTTATACCCAAAGCAGATTTTTCAGAATTTTGTGTCGACCATCTCATTTTTAAACTTGCAAAATGATTAGAATACATGGCTCAAAGGACATCTTGGAATTGGTTGCTTGCATTTGGGAACCCGGAAGTTTTTTCCTCTCCACCACACACCTCAAGTGCCTCACTGCCTCCCATAACCCAAGCAGCCCCCCAGCTGAACAGCCTCATGCTTTACTCAGGTACATCGAGTCTTCTGTCTTCAGGTGACTAATGAAATGGACAGACTAAGACTGCCCAGTGACAACTAATTTGATACTCTGATGTCATTTGCACAGCCAACAAGGTAAAAAGGAAGTCGTTCCTCATATATGTGTCCTGGTTGAGAACCTTTCTCTAGTGTGAGCTGACATACACAGTGCAGCTCTCAAAGCCACTCCTGGTGCAGAAGTTTCTGCATGTCAAGAAGACTGTACTAGGACAAACCAGTGAGAAGCTTAAGATAGGACGGAGGGATTCCTCTAGAATGCCCCCAAACACACATTGACTTTTTGCCTGAGCCATCTGAACCTAGAAGTGCAATTCTGCAATAGGGAAAAATTAGACAAACAAGAATTTGAGGAGATAATTGAATCAACATGCAAAGTACACACAGAGAGCTTGTTTGAGTTTGATAAATTCACATAATGTTCATTTTATTGGTTTGTTGCTTTAAGGTGTTAGAACAAGACAAGACAGATGTTCAAGTGATCATCTGCTGGTTACAACCTCATTTTTAAAAGATGTTGGCATACATTAGCACTTGTTTTTTCAATACAAAGGCAATTACTGCTAATAATGCACTTCACAAATTTTAAATTATATAAGCATGTTACAATATATCTCAAGGTGTCCAGCATTGAATCATTGAATTTTTGTTCTTATTTGTTAAATTAATGTATTCATGCAAATAAAAATATTTTCCAGTCTTCAGCAGACCAAAGAGCATATTATAAGTGAGAAATACTGAGTCTACCGACAGATATGCTATTTTCTTATTGCTATAAAAATATTCAAGGTTGAATAAATTTGTCAATGCCTGTTCTTCAAGGTAAGAAAGGAAGAGAGGAAGAAGAATGTGGGGGATGAAAAAAAGATCTCTTTATTATTATTATTTTTTACTGCTAATAGATGCTCTAGAATCCTCAGAATGCTTTAAATTTATAGATGCCTCCTAAGCACATTTGCTCTACTGTTTCTGGTAATAATCATGGAATGCCAGTATTAGAATTCTTCAGAATTCTGGATTTTCTTCTATTCCTTATTATCTCTACATAAAACCAAGTATCTCTGGAGCTGTTTGATCTGATGAAGTCATTCTAAAACCTTGCATAAGCCCTAGAGGAATTAATGCAGCTTTCAAACATTCCATAGTGATTCTTGGGTTGTGTTTAATCATCAATGAATCTGGCTGTTTCAAATATAACTAACAGTGAGTCTCTGTGGAGAACTTTAGAATGTTAAGGAGAATAAAAACCTAAAGGGGAATACATTACTTTCCATTGTAAATATATGACTAGATCCATTCAGAAACCAGAATACTGTTAAGTATTCCTTTGCCCTTTTCCCAACCAATTCCAAATATCTTTTGAGGGTAGAATATAGTTGTTTGTTTCATGAATTAATTAACATGTGGTTTCAAAGGAAGTCCAGAAGATAAATGAAGAACAGGAGAACACCTCTTACTATATTTCTTAACCTCATAATTTCATCTAGTAGTGTTTTTATTTATATAAGCTCAGAGAGAGGAAAGGCATGGATACACTACGGTGTGCCTGTCTTTTAAATAGCTTGCATAGACCCTCACTTACCATCATCTGTTCTCCAGAACAGACAAGGCTTTCCCTGTTTTGTGAGTTCCATGCCTGTTCAATACATCTGCAGCACCAGTTGCTCCACAGGAAAAAGGGCTTTCAACTCCTATAAAAAGTCAAGTCTCAGGAACCCACAGGGACCATTCTACCCTGTCCCATAGGTTCAAGATTAGTTGGAATCAGCTCCTTGGCAGTGAGGTTTGTTTGTTTGTTTGTTTGTTTGTTTGTTTGTTTCTGGACTAGCGTGCCCATTGAATTAATCCATGTCCAAACTGTACCCTGAACCATAGCTTCCAAATTTCTCGAATGCTCCTGAAAGCAAATTGAGAAACAGTTCATAGTCCATTGAAAGAAAGGAAAGCATATATTTAAAATGCAACATCTACCACCAGTAGGCTTAACCACAGAAACCTCAGAACAGAGTATCTATATCAAGAACCACCTATACCGTTATCAGGTGTGCTTTTTATTTACAGGAATCCAAGGAAGAGAGCTGTCAAAAGTTTTCAGACTAATGTGAAGCTATGTTCCTTGGTTTTAGGAAGTGCTGGAGTTTCAGAATCAAGAATTTACCGAGAATCCAGGGGCCGTGGTAGCAATGAACCCCACATAAAGCGTCCAATGAATGCCTTCATGGTGTGGGCTAAAGATGAACGGAGGAAAATTCTCCAAGCCTTTCCTGACATGCATAACTCCAACATCAGCAAAATATTGGGTAAGGCATGTGTTGAGTGTGAAGTGATGTATGGAATAAAAGTGCGGTTCCCTTTTCTGTAGTTGTTGAGATGACCAGGGATCTCATCTCTGGAAGAAATGAGTTTAACCTGAATGGAGGCTTTTTCCTGCTGAGGAAGGAGTCTCTGTAAATAATGATGTGGCCACTTTTTATAGCTAATTTAGCCAGGTGGCTCCATAGTAATTATTGTAATATTTCTCTGGTTTGAAAACCTAGAAATACAATGACAGAGCTGTTCCCTCCCCTCCCCTGCCCCACCTCACTAAAAAAAAAAAATTCCTTTCTCATGAGCCATGAGATCTCGCATTTGACAATTTGTATTATTTTCTTTTGTAAACTAGAGTCGAGTTGTTTACCCTAAGATCTTGATCCTGTCCCATCTTCCTTGTTCCCTTAAGGCAGCAGTTCTCAACTTGTGGGTCGCGGCTCCTTTGGGGTCTAACAACCCTTTTACAGGAGTTACCCGATTCATAACAGTAGCAAAATGACAGTTAGGAAGTATCAACAAAAATCATTTTATGGTTGGGGGGGGGTCACCACAACATGAGGAACTGTATTACAGGGTCGTGGCATTAGGAAGCTGGAGAACCATTGCGTTAAGCAGGGGCCCTCAAACTACGGCCCGCCGAGGACATTTATCTGGCCCACCGGGTGTTTTGGCCCCATTTGTATTTTTACTTCAAAATAAGATATGTGCAGTGTGCATAGGAATTTGTTTATAGTTTTTTTTTTAAATATAGCCCGGCCCTCCAACAGGTCTGAGGGACAGTGAACTGGCCTCCTGTTTAAAAAGTTTGAGGACCCCTGCAAGGAAATGAAGTTGTCTTTGTAGAATTCATCATATTATTGTAGGAAAATAGGTAAGGTGATGGTTGTTGTAGGGCTATCATTGCAATTTAGTTTAGATTCTCAATACCTAAAAGCGCAGAGCATGCAATTTTCACTTTATCTTTCAGTAACTGTAGGCATTATTTTCAGCCCCCTTGACAGGACCCTTTCCTACTATTGCAGCTTTCAGCTGAATAGCTAACAAAACATTTATTTACAAGTATTCAGAAAAGATGTTCCATTACAGAGAAAGGTACCATTACGGAAAAAGTACTAATTGTAAAAAGACCTTTTATGGACCAATATAAACCCAAAAAAAGAAGGACAGGAAGATTCTATTTCTTTTATGTCTTCTCTTTACCATATCATCATCATCACCATCATCATCTTCTTCAAGTGGTCACGTGACCAGGCACTGCACAACTCATGCAAACTTTTGATTCCTCACAGCCTGCAGCTTCGGCTTTAAGAAATCAGTAACAACATTTTAAATTTTATTGAAGGCATTGAAATCCATCTGTCTGCTCCTGGGCAGAATCAGTCTAGGAGGTCCTGTACAGGGGTACTACAAGGCAGAATTGAGCCTGGGGGAGTGGGTTTGCTTTGGGTTTGGTTTATAATTAACTTGGAATTATATGTGGTTTATAAAGAAAGGTGGTTTCTGATATATCTCATTAAGGATATAATCACCCCGAAGTAGTTATTAAACATCATTAAGTGTTTTGATGCTCCCATACTCCCACCAAGGTCAACAGACCATACCTGCCACCCCACCATAGGCATTTGTAATAAAATTTGAAAAGGGACACACATTTAAACATGTGCCTCAATTTTCATAGAAAACAATAATGAAATCTTGAGATGAACATTGGCCAAAATAGTATAACCGTGCGAAACTTTAGGTCTGTATAGAAAATGTGAGCATTTGGGAATCAGGTGATAACCATGCTAATGAAAAAACTGGAGCTGACTTTTCTGCATCTCTAACTTCACTTAGCTGTTTTCTCTTTAGATGACTCGTCTACCTTTCATACCCATAGTCCTGTTCGGTAAAGTCAAACCTGTTTCATTTGGAACCACTCTAATAAACAATGAATCTCTGTCAGTAGGCCTATTTCAAATGTTAAGATATTGGATAGCTCCAAATTAGAAATTTTCAGTATAGATTTTTAAAAATAAACAATTGAAATGCTTTAAACCTTCTTTATATAATTTCATTCTGATATCCAGATACAAGAATATATATAATGAAAACTACTGACTAAAAGTTAATCCTAAGTATGTACCAGAAATATCAATTTGATGCCATGAAATATTTTAGGAAATATAGCAAATATATATAGAAAAGAACATATAGAAAAATAAAGAAAAAACGGCTTTCTGGTTCTTTAAAGAAAATATTACAAGGACCCTATGAAAAAAACAAAAAACACCCTATGATTATATTGCAATAGGTTACATACAAGAGACCCCCCTACCTAATTTAAGTCTGTTTAATGAAATTGTATTAATTAGCGATATAGCATTTGTTTTGGGGGTGTGGGGGGATACTGAGGTGTTTGGGACTTCAGTATTTAGTCATAGCCTCAGATAAATAAACGATCTTCAAATATCCACAAGACCATTTTAAATGACCCATTTCGTCTAAAAATACAAAGAAAGCTTGATGTTTTCCTCTTTACTGATTGTTTTGGATAACAGCCTCCGACAGCATGCCGCTAATTCATTCTGCTTAAAACAGGCGCTTGAGCTGGGTTGACATTTTACGTAGTCTCTGGGGATCCTAGTTGACATTTTAAAGGGCTTCTAAGCATTTTATAATACCCTAAAATCTGGTTTTAATAAGCCATTCTGCTGAAATTGTTAACATAAGGAATCACCTTTTACTGTTTGGCACTAGATCAGGAGTTGGGGGACATCTTTTTCTGATTAGATATACAGTAGTCAGAATAAAATGTGCAAATTCATTACAGACCCTTGGAGATGACACTGCTACTCATCCTGAACTCTTTACTTTTATTTTATTCCCAGACTTAGAAAGGAAGACAACACTGTTAAGGTCACCACCCCCTCCCCCTATTTTGAGCATCAAATGTTTGAAATTGGGAAAAACACCCAAATGTCTATCTCTGTCTCTGTTTTGTTTTGTTTTCATTTGTTTGTGTGTTTTCTAAAAAGCCAGCCTTTTGAAAACAGCAGGGAACAAACTCCCTGCTCAGAGGCCTGGAATAAGCAACCAGTCACACCCAAATCAAGCCGATGTTTTTCTTTCTCCCAGAGGTATACAGGAGGCCTGTTTGCTTAGTGATTATGGGTTGGGGTGCTAACCACAATGTCAGCAGTTCGAAACCACTAGCCACTCTGCAGTAGAAAGATGTGGCTCTCACCTCCTCTAAAGATTTATGGTGTCGGAAACCAGTGGGCGCAGTGCTACTCTGTCCTACGAGATAACCAACCCAAACCAAACTTACCAATCGGCTAATCCTATTCAAAAGTTAGTATTTAAAAATGAGAACTGTATTTACCAGCAAGTACATTTAAACTCTATTCTGCATGAGTTATGAATGGACTATTTCACAATTGTGCCCCAGTTAAACTGGCTTTATCTTATTTTTTGAAGAAAAAAACAAAAACCTCGTATTATCTGGCCATGTTCTCAGATGTAGCTGAGGATTCCATGGTACTCTCAAAGAAAGTAAAATATTAACTGACAAAATATTTTGTCTTTCAAACTCAGGGCCAATTTAGAAGCCCATCTATCTGATAATTTACCTATCCTTATTACCCCATGTCTTTAAATATGCATATCACATCACTTTTTCCTCTCCATTTTAGCCAGGCCACTCCTCTTTCATCCTATCCACCTTCCAATCAGTAGACCATGTCCATTCTATTCTCCTCCACCTTAGTATTTGATTCTTTCTGACTCTGTAGGAGTTGTTTGTTCAGGAAAATCCTTCTGAATAGTTTTATTGGCATTTAATTCACATAGCATGCAGATTAACCATCCAACCTTATTAAGAAGAGTTGTGCAGTTGTCCCAAGAATCAATTTCAGAACATTTTCTTCTTGTATTCATTGTTGTTAGCTCCTTGTTTCCTCCAACCTCCCCTGCCACGTCCCTAGGTAATTATTAATCCAGCTACTGTCTGTATGGATTTACCTTTTCTGTATTTCATATGCAGAAACTCATACAAAGCACATACAGACACACACACAAAATAAACCAAAAAGGAGCAAACAAGACTGAGAAAACCTCAACCTAAAAGAAAGCACAAAATATTTGACACTGGAACCACTTTAAAATGGGTCAAAATGGAGATCAAATGATGAGGTCTTACATTTGAACCTAACTACATCTGCCACAATTGACTTTCCACTGCTCTTTGTGTGATGCCATGACTATTCATACCCCTGGACTATTGTCAGAGGGAATTCAGAGGTTTCATCTATGTGGGGCCTCTGCAAAAGGATTTTGGCCTTCCATTGCCATCCATAGCCTTCTATCAATAGATTCACCTTATGGGTGGGTGATTTATAATGTTCTCTATTCTAAAATCATGGTGATGATTCTAAAGTGAACCAGAGACCTAGGTAAACCATTGATATATAAATGGATGTTAGGCACACAGTTATTTCTGTCCCCAAGCTAAGAACAATTAGTTCTGAGGACATGGCCCTACTCAATAGTCACGCTCACAAAGATATGGGTGCGATAGCAAAGTGTGTTGAAGAAACGGTTGGTTTTCTGGGATGGTTTTCCCCAGTTCTTCCTACTCAATGCTGCAGGAATTCATGCAGCAGAAGCAGTACAGTCTCTCAATACGTGCCATCCCTGGAAAGCATGTATGGCTGCACTGGGGACCTCGCAAGAATTCAAGGACAAAAATAGCCCTTCACGTGTAAAATGGCCAGAAACGGGAGGCCGTGGGGGAGGCGAACTGGAAGAGAGAGAGCTCCAGCCATCTGTTCCTGCTTGTTATCCCCTCCTTCACCAACCTGGGGTGAGGTTGTGGTTGAGGGTACTGGACATTCTTAGTGGCTGAGTTTAGGTGCATGCCTGATGTAGTGTTGCTGGTTTCTTGTGAACATGCCCAGGTGACTTTAATCTGTATGCCCAGGTGACTTTAACCTGCATATGCCCAACTTTGGATCTTCCCCGTAAGTTTCTAATGTGTGCCTGACTTCTTTTAAACCCCTTTATTGTGGCATGGCCAGCTAATTTTCGTTTAGCATAGGCATTTGGTGGAAACAACCCCCATTATCACTAAACTTCCTGCCTGTCAAAACCAGATGGTATCCAGCTATTAGAAAAAAATAGCATCTAGAGTCTAAAAGTCTTGTCTTAGAACAAGCAGCCATCTCAGTGAGGCATCAACTAAATCAACACAGAAGAAGTGAAGTCCCCGTGTGCCCCAAAGATTGTGAATAATAAAATCTAAATATGAAGGAGGAAATGGCATCAGGGCTTGCAATTTGAACACTGCTCACAGAAGGCTGTGCTTATAAGTGAAATCTTTGGATCTACAGAACTTTGATCTCAATTTTTTCATCATATGCTTTCATAGCTTCTTGCCCTTTCCACAATTTTAATTAAAATAATATTTTGTAACTGGATGTTAAATGCATTTCTCCTACACAAGATATAAGACTGAGGAAAACAAAAGCCACGTTTGTCTTATTCTCCAATTGTATGCAGTACCTAATACTTCATCATGCACATAGTAAAAATATAAACATAATGATCACATTCTAAAGCAAAGTAACTGTAAGGCATACCATTTTCCTTCCCTTAAAGAAACATATTTTACTTGATCTGTGAGAACATTTACTCTGCTAAGGGAACCTGGCAATTCCTGTACTAATTGTGAATGTGGATTTCTTTGTTTTTGTGGGGAGCTTGTTTATAGTTCATGAAGTTCATTGAAACAAACCATCCTTGATCTGTTTTTCACCTGTATTCAGATGTGGCCAATAGTTTATTCCTGGTAAGCTATTTTCCCATTCCCTGATCTGAGATGCACACAATGGTATGTCTACTTGCAAAAACTCCATGGAGAGAATTGATTCAGCTCAATAATTTTTATAGCTTTGTTTGTATTTATCTTTGCCCAAGAATAACCTAATTGCTTTCAAATACCTCTAGAGAGGGTCAATCAGGACTTTGAGATTGTAACACCAATAGTATGACTGAACTACTGATTTAACATTAGACAATGCTTATTCAGCAGAAATGTGAGCAAGGACATAAAAAAAATAAGGCTTTATTATTGAACTGCAACTTAGGTAGATCTTATAGCATAAACCAATACTGGCTATTTGAGTTTAAATTAATATATATTTATAAGTCTGTATACCCCCTTCAGGATCCCTGATTAATAAAAGTAAACATTATTACTACACTTTCAGTACCACTACAAACATCCATACCAAGAGAATCAAATTTATTTAAATCAGTGTACATTGAGAAGTGTTTAGAAATCATCTTTAAAGTGATTTTCTCGGCCCTACTTGTATTCTAAGCCAAATTGAAGAATGAAAAGGAGGGGCGAAAACATAATTAGGTTCTCATTACTAGCAAAGATTACGTCACAGGAAGTGACAGCTTTATGTAGTAATGGAAGTGAAAAGCATAATGCATCTTAAGTCTGACCCTCAGTAGACCATATGAAAGAGGGCGAGTCACAAAGTGTCGTTGCCGGGGTTCCACTTCATACATGCACAGGTTTACTCCAAATAAAACATGCTTACACTGTACTTTGTGCTCAGTGGAGGACCGTAGACACCATCTCTTAGTAACACACACGCTGTAGTCTCAGTAAGGTGCTTTCCAAAGAAAGGACCCAATCCCACAAGTGGTTTCCAAAGGGCTCTGCAGGACCAATGCAGCTCTCAGAGAAGTGATGAGCTGGAAAGTTACGGGAACTTTTTCAGGATTTCAGAGGCATAACCTTGATAGATTTTCTCAAAGGACGCAGAGCAATCATGGGAGCTTTTTTATGAAGACGTTTGAAGAACCCTGAAAACGGAATTGGTGAGAAAAAGGAAAGGGAAATTACTCAACAGAGTTCTGTTTTGTTTGCCATTATGACAGCGTACCGTTCATTCTTCAAAGGTAACAGGGGTCGTCCAAGGAGGCTTTTGTTCGAAACCCTGTCCATCTACGGTCCTGAACTTCCCTCATAGACTTTGTTGTTTTTATTACTCCCCAAACTCACAGAATACTGAAAAGAAGCACAATTTAGGTGCCTTGAAGATGCCAACACTGCCATTTGGATAAGTAATTTGAAGAGCACAGATATATTTGGGGAAAGGGTAGAGAAATGTATGGACCTAGGTGAAAGACATATCAAGACATAATGTTTGATAATTGTGTTTAGTAAAGGTTGCTATGATTTTGTAGCAGTGCTTTTTTATTTACCCTCAAATAATAGGCAGGCATATATGTATGTAAGGGCCATGCATTGTGACACAGGTTAGATTCTGTTAAACCTGAGTTTGTGCCCCAGCTCTGCTGTCTAACAGTTTTGCAAACTTGGGTAAATTTTTCATCTATTTGAACCACAGTTTTATCATCTCTTAATATAGATTTAAATGTTACCTATCTCACAAATTTGTGGTAATAAGTAAAAATAAAAGCACATGTAAAAGTTTTTAGCATGGTGTATATTCATTACTATTATAATTTTAATTATTAAATTTTCCACTATAATCACTCATATAAGCTTTTGTATTTGGGAAGAATAAGGATTATTTGTAAAATATGTTAGGAATCCTTTTAAGTAAACAATGTAAGTCTACTTAAAAATACTCAATAGCTAATTAGTGTCAGTTACGGCATGACTTAAAGTATAAACGAAAGACATATGCATAAAATGATGGACCTTTAAGCTTGACTAAATCATTGGTCAAGCCCTGGGGTTGGGCGGGGATTCACACATGCACACGCACACATGTCATGTCTTTGCAACCACAGGTTACGTGGTTAAACAGTCAATACCTCTGTGTTTATAGAATCTCAATTCTTGAATCTTTGAGTCAAAGCTGATCAGTTAACAACATTTTTACTAAATGGTGTTTAGCTCTCAGCTATATATCTTTTGAGGATGCTTACCAACTGGGTAAACCGGAAACCCAACCTTCCTTTCTTCACAGGGTCTCGTTGGAAAGCTATGACAAACCTCGAGAAACAGCCATATTATGAGGAGCAAGCCCGTCTCAGCAAACAGCACCTGGAGAAATACCCTGACTACAAGTACAAGCCCCGGCCGAAGCGCACCTGCCTGGTGGACGGGAAGAAGTTGCGCATCGGGGAGTACAAAGCGATCATGAGGAACAGGAGGCAGGAGATGCGGCAGTACTTCAACGTTGGGTACAGACAATTCCGTCATTTTCTCAAAAGGAAAACTTCCTTCGATCTTAATGGGTCACCAAACAAATGTGTTTAGCCACAGAGAAGAACTCAGCACAGTGTATTTTCAGAGACTACCCTCCCATAGTATCTTGAAAAGAAAAAAAAAATACATGCATGCTTATCTACTCCTAGATCTGGAGACAGTGGCTCTCACAGGAGCCCCTTTGAAAGCTGGATTGAAAAAGATTCTAAAAAAAAAAAAAAGATAAAGAAAAACAGATTCTGAAAGTACATAACTTTTGAAAATGCTTTTTACAACTTAGACTGATTGCTAGCTATTTCCCTACTGGGTATTTATTCCTGCTAAGATTTTCCGGTGCTCAATTCTAAAATGATTCACACTCAGTTGAGAGAGTTCCGCGTAAGAAATGATCTTGAAAGGAAGAAACAGTTGGATGTGAACCCTGGACAGCCTCGGTGGAGCGCAGTCTTGGGGGAGCGCACCGCGGCTCAGCCAGGCTGTGAAGGGGGGGTTTCCATCGTGAATTAGAGCACCGCTCTCCCTGATCAGGCTTTCCACAGTTGTCAGACCCTGCAGCTGCGTTGGTGCCCCCCCCCTGTTCCCCCAAACCAAAACACCCAAAGAAATAAGGAGCTCGTGTTGGAAACAGAAATTACGTTTTCAAGCACTTGTTAGGATAAAAATTAATGTGCTTAAAATGACCAGAGAATAACTTACCAAAAGCTCTGTCAACATCCCTTTGAAATAAGTTGTCAGTTCTGTCCAAAGAGACATGGTTTATGTACAAATAAACTACTCTTCTCCAGTCTGAGTACAAAGTCCAGAACTTTCTGGATGAAGGGAGACATAGGGATGGATGAATGGAGACATCTATAAATCCATTCCCGCATGGACTACCTGTGTAATTGAGGGTGGGGAGGGGTCCAGGGCAAAATAAACCATGGGCCTCTTAGTTACAAATATTAATAATTTCAAGACAGTGACAATAGAACTTCAAACCAAGTGTGGGTCATTTGTCAGCAAAGGGCTTTCTGTGGCGTTATTTTACATTTTACATCCATGAGCCAGTCCTGTTTCCTACCCTATCTAAAACTGTTTTAGGGGAAATTTGATATTGTTCAGTTCTGGTGAGTTCTGGACCAAAACACAAACACAAGGCCAGAGTAGCTTCTGACTCACGGAATAGGACCACCCCAGAGTGTTTCCAAGTGTGACTCTCTGTGGAAGCTACTGCCCCAGCTTTCTCCTGCAGTGTGGCTGTGGGGTTACATCACCAATGTTTGAGTCACAATCGACAACATGATGGCAGTGAGTTTGGTTTGGGGGTGTTTTTGTTTGTTTGTTTGGGTGGTTGTTTTTTTTGTTGTTGTTTGATTAGCAGTCGGGTACTTTAACCACTGTTCTACCAGTTTTCATACAAGGTCTAAGTAGTAAAGGTTTATCTTGAGAATATTCCACAATTTTCTCTTGGATTTTCCACCAAAATATGATTATCTTTAAATTCAATTCTTTATAAAATTAATTTCTGTTTTTGTATAAATATATATATATATTTGGATAGTAATAAATTAAGGATCAAATGGCTAATACATTTCAGCGCCTTGTAATCTTTAGAGCATTATGCAGTGCTTTGGAGTCAAAGTAAAAAGCAATCTTTTAAATGTCAGACAGAGGATGAACATCAGCTCCTTAGAATTGGCTATTACTAAGCATGACTCGGATGGGTTTAGGTAAAGCCTTCATTGAACTATCTTTTCACCATGGTTTCTTTTTGGGAATTTCCCTCCGACAGGCAACAAGCACAGATCCCCATCGCCACTGCTGGTGTTGTGTACCCTGGAGCCATCGCCATGGCAGGAATGCCCTCCCCTCACCTGCCTTCAGAGCACTCCAGCGTGTCCAGCAGCCCAGAGCCGGGGATGCCTGTCATCCAGAGCACTTATGGAGTGAAAGGAGAGGAGCCGCATATCAAAGAAGAGATACAAGCTGAGGACATCAATGGAGAAATGTATGATGAGTATGATGAGGAAGAGGATGATCCGGATGTAGATTATGGGAGTGACAGTGAAAACCATATTGCAGGACAAGCCAACTGATAAGGGTCAAAAAGATTGTTGTGACCTTAGGACTTAAAGAAGCCCTAACTGGTTTATCCTTACCAGTGGCCAAGCACATTAACTTTCTCATACACTGACTGTTACTTTAACTGTTAGTCTTAACTAGTTGGGACATCAGCTGACTAATAGACCTCAGCCTCAAAAGGCTTGGAAAGAAAGAAAATACAGCAAGCAAACAACAATATCAACAAGAGATTGAAATAAGCTATGGGTAAAATAATGCCAGTAATTCAGCTGCTACAACCAAGCACTGAAGTTCTTACCCGTCAACTTCTTCTTTTTTTTTTTAATAAACTTTATGGCTGTTTGTTCTACAATGTTCTAGAAATTCTCACTCAGGTACACAGTGCCAACAAGTGGCTTGTGAATGTGTTTTGTTGTTTTGTGCTACAATTTTTTTTTAAAGAAATACGTTTTGTTTTGTTTGGGGTGGGGGGAGGGGTCTGGCTTTTTTCCCCCGTTCTTTCTTTCCTTTTTCTTTCCTTCCTTCTTCTTGGTCTTCTTTTTGGTAAGGCACCTGACAGGACGAGAGACATTTCTCTTGCTCCTCTCCACCTCCTCCAACTCTGTACTCTAAAGAGGGAAGGATCTACATGGGACAAGAGGGAAACGAGCCCATTTGTCACTTCCTTGCTCCACTGCAGAGTAAGCAATGCTTTCCGTAGAGGATGTTCTCTATCTGTTGCGCACCACACTGCACCGTAGAGCAAGTGCCAAATTTGTACTGACCTGTTGACCCAGTCCGTTTCCCCCTCTTCTTGTTTTCCTGTTCCTTCTTAAGTTAGGACAGTGTTATAACTTAGACAATCCCTTGAAAAACCTGAAATACCAGCAACTGGTGAGATTTGACTTTTTTTTTTTTAATGGAAACTGTAGGTGCTGTTCTCAGGTGAAAAGAGAGAGAGAGAGAGAGAAATTTAGAGAAAAAAATATTTTCTGATCTTGGATTTTCGTGTGTATGTTATGTGTGTGATTATGGTACTAATAGGAATAACGTTGGACCATTGTGAGTTAAACCCACATCTGGGGATGAAATCCCACATCCTCCCAAGTGAGTGGTCTGGAAGTAACCGTGACCTTGACTTTGCACTTCAAATGACAACCAGTTATAGGGCTCAAAATTATAGTTTAAATTTCTAATATGATGCTTATTGGATGGATCAGGTGGCCCTGTGTAATAGGGATGTGTGCATGTATAACATGGAAGCTACTAGCAAACTGCTCCCAGATGTCCCTCCTCCCTGGTCAATCAACCCCACTAACTTTTGCTACTTACTGGTTTCTGTTTGCTTTTCTTGTTTGATAGAGCAAAAACAATCATTCTTTCCACTGAGTTCATCTGACTGTTTTCCAGAAATGTTGGTTTAGCTTATTTCTTCAACATTTCATTCTTTCCTGAACAGGAAATGGATCTCATGATTTTATAAGGCATTTGTTTCTCCCTCCACAAAGTGGGACAGAGACCATTTGCATTTTGTAAATGAGCGCCTTGTATATTTCATACAACAAAAAATAATTGATTTAAAGTCATTGCAGCTGGCAACTGTGGACCTTGCCTCCACCCAGTGACCCCGGCCCACTACGCTTGACCTTGCAGCAAGATGGATTCACTGGCGTCCAGCTTTTGAGTCCAGCAGAGTAAGAGTATAGAGAAACAACTGATGGTGATGGGACGGCTTATTTAGATTTTTCAACCAAATGCCAAGGCAGTTGTACAGCCTGTCCAAATCAACGCAGAATCTTTTCAAATCAATGGCCATTTTCTGTATTGAAGCATCAGGTAGTAAATACTCCAACCAGTAGTTCGGATGTGCTACGGTTTCCACTCCAGATACCATTTTCCTATCCCATCCCCAAACACCACCCTAATTTTTTTTAACATATCAATGGGAAAAAAAATCCATTTTATTGTTCTCTCTCTCAAAAGACTTGCTCTGGGTTTTGCTTGGAGGAGTTGATCATATCCTGCATGTCGGAGGTTTTGTTTTGTTTTTCTGTTTGTTTTTGATGACTGTTTTTTCATTTGAACTGCCTCTTTTTGATAGTGTTATAATAATGATGATGAAAAATTATAATAATAATAATAGTAATAATAATAATAATAATGGTCAGCTGTTCCCAGATTAGTAAGTTATGTATAATTTATTTTTATTTTTCCCTTTTTATTTTATTCTGCTCTGATTTGGAAGTACAGCCAATAGGCTCTTGGGTATTTACAATTAATTTCCATCACATAAATGCATGTATGTATATATACATATACATACTGGCACCCGCAGTTTTACTTCTCATTCCATAATTTTCCCTTTAAAAAATGTTTTGGTCCCAAACAATATCAAGTTCTTGTGTTTAATACAAAAGAGCGGATTAATGGGAGGGTAGTGCTCAATCTTAATTAACTTCTGCTCTCATCACTCATTTTAGTTACTTAATTGCCACAGTCATCTAGAGCCAATTTTTATGTTTTTGTTTTGTTTTTAAGCACTCTGGATAAGGAAAATAATAGACACTTGCTTTTATATCGTTATTATGTACAATGTGAAAACAGATTTTTGAAGGTTTGTTCTCTGTCTTTGTGAACAGATTCTTTCAGACTTATTGTGGGTTCACCTTTCACATTTGCTGGATACTTATTTACACCATGTTATAAAGATGCTTTGTTTTCATTTCATGACTTTGGGCTACAAGAATACTTTGTTTTAGCTCCAGGTAGATGCCACCGAGGGCATTTGTGGGGGAAACCAATTTTAACACACGTATCAGTGAGTTGACAAAACACTTCTGTTTGTTTTTGGGTTGATTGGGTGTTTTTTGTTTTATTTGAAAGGGACAATGAAATTGTCAATGGTGACCTTTAACTGCTGAAATTCAGAAGCTAATTTTATTTAGGTAGGTGTATGTCAGAAAGACTAAACTGGGCATGGACTGCAACGAAAGCCAGTTCACAGCCTTCATTCCGTTCTCTTATTCCGGAGTGTAGTTCACCAGGTGTCCTCATGAGTTTGCTTTTATGTGCCTCGGAAGAAAACAGGAAAAAATGGATGTGATAGAAATTAATTATATTAACTTTAAAGTGCTTTGAAAGTCATTAGTTGAAAGGTGCTATAAATAGCAACTTATGTTAATAACCTTTTATCATTTCTTCTCTTTATATTTTTCTTTTTTATCATTTCTTCTCTTTCTTTATAGTTTTCTTTTTTGTAAAGGATCCTAAAACCTTGTACTCCTTTTCTGTCCCCCATTATGACCAGAAAGTTACAGTAGAAGAAATGAGTCAAAGTAAATTAAACCAGGAGCAATCTCCCTCTTCTCTCCTTTCCTACTTACCCCCTCTCTCTTGCTACATTCTTCTCTCTCTCTCTCTCTACCCCCTCCTCTCCTTTCTCTCTCTCTCTCTCATACACACCACACACACACACACACACACACACACATCCCAGCGATGAATGAAAAACGTGTCAGATTGTCAGATGGGGCGGGGGGTTGGTGGGGGGGGTGCGTATTGTAATCAGCTTTTCTTAAAATTGTTATAGTATTAATCTAAGAGAACATCACTGGTGAAAAGAGGTTAACGTTGTTTACTTATGAATTTTTAATAATTGGGCTAATTACTACAACTGGAAAAATATAAAACTCTTCTTCAGTACCTTTATGCCTAATTTAGGTCCATTTTAAAATTTATTTGGTATCTGCACTTAAAAGTTAACCAGGTATAAAATCCCTCCCAAAGAGCATAACCATCATTTTTGAGACCAAACCCTTTAGAGAGAACACATATAAAGGAATTTTATTTGATGAAATTATTACATAGATTTTATTTCTGAAGTAGAATTTTACCTTAATTAAAGCAACTTATAGAAAATTACTTTTAACCATTTGGGAGCCAATTTCAGATATTTCTCTTAAATCCAGAAGTTGGTACCGTTCCCAGGAGAAGCCTCTTCACTCACATGTAACCATCACAGATAATAACCAGTCATCATTTACATGGCAAAAGTATTGACTTGTAATACAAAGTTGTGTATTTAGAAAAGCAGGTTAACGAAATGTGTCTATCGAGTTAAACGTAAAATAAAAACGAATGGGGGTGCAAAGAAAGGTACGGGCCCACTGAAAGTGGTTCAAGTGTCTATTTGTCTTATAGGGCATGAGTGTTTGTTTAGTCAGGCTTTTACAGTATTTAATTTTAAAGTTACGTATAACCAGCAGTTTCCGAAGTTGAAGATGATGTTTTGCTGAGTTTTCTACTGATTGAATACTCTCCTCCCCAGTGTTTCTGTCACTGGTTCACGAAACAGTATTTATATAGCTCCACTGGCTCTAAAGCTCGTAGTCCTGTTAGCATTTGGGATTTTACCAGTAATAATGGGGGGAAAAATAGAACAGAGACAATCAAATGCCTGGAGCTTAAAACAAAGTATGTGCAACCTACCATCTCACTTGAAATTTAATAAAATAAATAATTATGTAAATATAACATAGAGTTATAGATTTATATTTTGTTCATAACACATAGTGTAATATAAGTTGTATATTTTCATGTTTTGGGTTTTATGTTATCATTCATGCCACAATAAAAATAAAACAGGAGTTTACGTACTCTTTTAAAAAAGCGTGGGTTGGCACCAACCTTTTTTGTTTTGTTTTGTTTTGGGGGGGTTATTTTTGTTTTTTTGCATTCTTTTTTCCCCCCAGTATTATTGCCATGCAAGGCACCAATAAAAACAGCAAATGTGTTCTTAACTATTATACTGTGTTTCTTTTCCAATTCTTGTTATGAAGGTTAAAAAAGACTAAAAGAAATATGGGGGGGGGCATATTTCAATATAAATAAACTCCACTTATTAATAGGTTTGACTTTTATAGGTGGACCTTAGCACAAGGAGAGCCAGACCTTATTATGATGCATCTCAGTATAGCTTTACTTTAACGTTAGAACGTAGCTTATGTCGAATGGAGTCTAATGCACTAGAAAGCCATGCAGCCTGTGCCCCTGCAGTGTTGTTTCCCCAGCCTTGACATTGCCTTTGGTGTGTGTGTGTGAGGCTGAGGCAGGGGGAGGACAAGGTTTATACCTCAAAATTGTAGTTCATCGTGTTCTTTGTATGGAAATCTCTATGTTTAGGATGATAAGTAACTAATATTGCTAACAAAATTTCACCTCACTGCTGTCTAATTTTGAGTAATGGATATTTCTGAACTTATCACACGTTGAATCTTGGATTCTACAAATTTCCAATGAAACAGGAAAAAATCACAAGTCTCCTGTCCTCCACATGGCCATTTGAGCTTGTCTAGACCACCAGGGGATGGTTTCCTAGCATTAGTTTCATGTCTAATACTTTCCTGTCTGAATTATTGTCTATCCCATTGTTTTGTTTTGTTTTTACAAATGTCAAAACACAAGGTCAGGGAACATCTTGT